TTTGGCTGCATATTATCACCCAGTGTGAATTCCTTAGGTGGTTGTGGAACCACATACAGGGAATTAATCATGATAATTGTTGCAGAGCGACAATAATATAATACCTAGCTCTTATATAGTGTTTTTCATCCCAAATCACTTTACAAAGAAGGTCAATATCATTAACTCCATTTTATAGATGGAGACACTGAGGCACAAAGATGTGAAGTCACTTGCCTGAGGGCACACAGCCGGCCAGTGGCCAAGCTGGGAATGGAATCAGGAGACCTGGGTTCTCAATCTGGTGGTCTAGTCACCTGGTCACATTGCCTTACTCATGGTAGGGCCATGAGAGACAATTCAGCATTCTATGCATTCCAGCTGTAGGCCAGAATCACCATTCAGTCATTTCTTAGCCACATCCCTCTCTCTGTCTTGTTCCTGACCTCCTTTCTCACTCTCTCCTGGATCAGACCCCACATGCTCCTCTGCACCCCCAATACTCTACCCTGAGCTCCCTTCTGCACCCAATCTCCATTCCAGACCCCATACTCCCTCCATAGAAAAGTGTGGTCCTTGACCACTTGCCAAAAGCTTGGAGTGGCTCCCCAGTAAAAATTATTGCCCACCCCAACCTATGCAAAGACTCATCCCAAAGCTATTTACCCCTTCACATAACATATGAACCAGGGGTCACCCAATGAAATAAATAAGCAGCAGGTTAAAACAAACAAAAGGATATATTTCTTCACACAATGCATTGTCAACCTGTGGAACTCATTGCCAAGGATTGTCATGAAGGCCAAAAGTATAACTAGGTTCATAAAAAGAACGAGGTAAGTTCACGCAGGACAGGTCCACTAATGGCTATTAGCCAGGATGGCCAGGGAAGCAACCCCATGCTTTGAGTGCCCCAAAACCTCTGGCTGCCAGAAGCTGGAGCTAGATAACAGGGGATGAATTCCTCAATAACTGCCCTATTCTTGTGTCTATATGCAAAGCATATGGCACCACCTACTATTGGGAGGACAGGATGGGCTATTGGTCTGACCCAAAACTCACACGGTTACGTATATTTCAGTATTACTGATCCCACTTAAATATCAAGACTGACTTAAAAATCCTGATATGTTTTTAAAATATAAAGGTTGGGCTGTTTATCTTTGCCTTCTGGTTTCTGAGCCCTTAGGGTGCAGATACATCATATTTTTCAGCTTATCTCTGCAAACATGAGGGCTAGAAACAGATTTTAAAACAGAGAAAAGAAAGCTGAGAGTCTCCAGTGATCACATGACTCGGTGGAAAACAAGACAAGTGATAAAATTGTGAGAATCAGCCATATGTAATTGTTGTGTATGATCTAGCAATCAATCCTCAGCTCAGGTGTGTTCCTTAGGCGGGGCAGTGCTGCTCACGGCTGCCAATAGGAAGGACCTGGGGCCTGGTGATTTAAAAGAGCCCCCTGGCTCCCAGCCACCACTACCATGGCAACAGCCAGAGCCTCAGGCCCTTTAACTCATCACCAGAATTCTGAGCAGCACATGCTGGACAGCACTGAAGGGCTGGCTGGGGAAGGCCCAGCAGCTTCTGGGATCCCGGCAAGTCTGTCAGCAGCCCTGGTGTTGCCATCCCCACCCTTGGGATTCCGGGACCCCACCAAGGTGGGACTGAGTTCCAGAGGTGCAAGGAGAAATGGGGAAGGTTCACTGAATTAGGTTCAGCCTCTACTGGCTAAGGAGCAGCATTGCTGGATTCCACAAGGAGCTCTGTCCAACCATCCCAGAGTCAGGAAGCTTCCCATGAAGGACCATTTTTCTCCCGACACCACACCTCCCAGCTTACCAGTTTATCTTCTCCCTCATGCTGCATTTCTTGTCCTGTCTTCTCTTCATTCCTATTTCTCCTCAGTAATGCAGGAGAAACATGTTCTCTGTTCTCATAGCAGATGCCCTTGCTGTCCACAAACTTAGCTCCCTGGATCAGTGCTTGATCCTCTCCTGGCCTGAGTGACAGAGGTAGCAGCTGGAGAGGGTTTGCTCTTTCTGAAGGAAAGCTCCCTGTGAGGGAGAGAAAAGCCAACTGGATGACAGACTGTGAGAGTACAAGGAGAAGAGAGGATGGGAATATGGAGCCCCTGTCCTTCTCCCATGGCCCCAATCTTAGCTGGCAGCCTGATTGGCACTGGGTTATAGTTTGACTCTAAAGCCTCATTATACTGAGCTTGGAGTACTTAGAGAATAAAATGACATAGCAGTCCTCCCTTTTAGTGTGTAGACTGGGATGCAGGGAATAGAGGGTGGGTAGGTAAAAGGGTGTAATTATTTCTTTGAACTTAGATGGTGTCTTTCATCCCAAAGCACTTTACAAAGCTATTACCCTTCACATTTTATGGGTAGGTAAATTGAGGATCAGCAAGGTTGAATGTCTTATCCCACAATATTCATTGCACTATTAGCAGAGCTGAGAATAGAAAACAGGTCTCCTGCTCTAATCATTTGGGAAGCTGATAAGTCAGAGCTACAGTGGGCTCCATTTGAGCTTTAATCTAAGCTTATATAACCTTATGGTTAAGATCAAATTGACAACTATTGAGATGCAGGGATATGTTCTCTGTAAGGATATTACAGTGTATCTTGTACTTGTGGGCTGTGTAAAAAAGTAGCCTTTTTTCGAAAAAACTTCACCTGCATCTAGACTACAGCCGCGTTCTTTCAAAATTAAATCGAAAGAACGTGGCTTTTCTTTCGACGACAGTATTCCTCATTTCACGAGGAAGAACGCCTTTTTTTCAAAAGTGCTCTTTCGAAAAAAGGCGTTCTTGAATGCAAACAGGGCTTTTTCGAAAGAGAGCATCCAGACTGCCTGGGTGCTCTCTTTTGAAAAAGTGGCTCACTTTTTCGAAAGAAGAGATTGCAGTCTAGATGCTCTTTTTCGAAAGAAGCTTTTTTGAAAGTATCTTTTGAAAAAGCCTCTTTCGAAAGAGGCTTGCAGTCTAGACGTAGCCGTAGGGAGAAGGACTTGGTAGGCCTTCTTTCTCTCAGAAATTCACACTACATTGTGGTAAAAAAGCTACCAAGCCCAAACTCCCACCATAAGAGAGCTGGATATTTCAGGGGCAGGTGGAAGCAGCTGACTATTACAGTAAGGGTACCATTTATGGGGGGGCTAAAAGTTTGAACCGCTGGATTTCATACATGAGGTCTGCTGCAAGCCCATGCCCTAACTTTAGAGGCAGTTCTTAAATGCAACACAGTTTGAGCTGCTTGCAGCTTTGCCTTTGGGACAGTTTGTTATAAAAAGAGGGAGGCAGGTGATTAAGAATAACAAAAGACTGATCATTCAAGTAATTGAAGGATTGTTAGATCATCATGAAAACATTGCCATGTACTCCACTTAAAAGATAGGGAAAAAAAGAATAGGAATGAGTGTTGTGCTGCTGGGATCTGCACTGCTGCTAAACTTTTAAATGTTCTTGAAAAAAGGGATGAATGGGGACTAATTCAAAGCTGACTGCAAAAAGTTACAAAGGGATCTCACAAAACAGGGTGGTTGGGCAACACATGGTCAGATGGAATTCAGTGCTGATAAGTGCAAAGCAATGCACATGGAAAAATATAATCCTATAATCCTAACTATAGATACAAAAAATGATGTGGTTGAAAATAGTTGTTACCACTCAAGAAAGAGATCTTGGAATCCTTGTGGATAATTCTCTGAAAACATCTATTCAATATTCAGTGGCAGTCTAAAAACTAAAAAGCTAAAAAAATATTGGAAATAATTGGGAAAGGAATAGATAATAAGACAAAATACCACACTGCCTCTATATAAAGTCATTGTATGCCCACATCTTGAATACTGCATGCAGATCTGGTCACCCCGTCTAAAAAAAGGTATTTTGAATTTGGAAAAGGTGCAGAAAGGGCACTAGAAATGATTGGGGTAAGGAACAGCTTCCATATGAGGAGAGATTAACAAGACTGGGACTTTTCAGCTTGGAAAAGAAATGGCTAACAGGTGGGGGAATATGTTAGAGGTCTAGAAAATCCTGAATGGTATAGAAAAATAGAATAAGGAAATGTTATTCATTTCATCACTAAGATAACACAAGAAGCTAACCCAATTAAATTTAAAGGCAGCAAATTTAAAACAAACAAAATAGGTGACAGGGGATGGATCATGATGATTGCTTCTTCTGTTTATTCCTTTTGAAGCCCCTGGCATTGGTCACTGTTGGAAAACAGAATACTGGGCTACAAGGACCTTTGATCTGACCCAGTATGGCCATTCTGATGTTCTTACATAGAGCTGAAATGTATCTGTCCCCTGATGTAACCCACTAGGCCCCACTCCTCTATCAGAGCTTAGATAGAGCCCAGGAGTCCTGACTGAGTCTCTCTCCCTCCACAGAATTAATAACAAAGTAAGAATATACATTAAAATGTTAAGAGTCATTGGTGTCTCTGAAGTGACTTGCCACAAGATGTCAGAATAAGTTAGTGTTAGAGCTGAGTGGGTCTAATATTTATTTAATTGTCTTTCTTTTATGTAGGAATTAGATACAGTGCTCCTGTCAGCTAACTGCTAAGCTGTCCACCAAAAAAAGTAGAGTTTTCCAATGCCATAGTAGCCCTTGTATAAAGAGGATGTGGGATGGGAGGGGGGATGAAGGGCAGATGGGGTTGGTTTCCCCCGCATTTGGTGCTTGGCTTGTGCTGAGCATGCTGAGTAACAATGCTGAAGCCTCTGTCCTCAGTCTATCCTCCCATGTTCTCACTCTTCCTCCATCACGGCATACACAGGTCGGTCACCTCCCTTCAAAATGTGAAATGGCGCCCCTGAGAAGGACCCTTAAGACACTCATGCCATGTATGGCCTCTGAGAGTAAGTTGCTCATCCAGGCCTAAAGAGCTTTTGCAGACTGCTTTCCTAGGCCCATACAGCTGCTGGTGGTAGAAGTGATTTTCTGGATCATGGTCCAATACCTTGCTGACAATGTTCTTTTTTTGTGGTGGAGACAGCAGCCACACAGTGTGGTACAACGGCGCCTTTTGGAGGGGAATCTGAACAAGCTGCGGGGTGAGAGCAGGGAGTATACCACATGGGTTCAATCCCCACTGGTGAAGGACAAGGATAACGGGGCAGAAAAGAAACAGAATGACAGAAGAAAAGAGATTGTGTCCCTGCTCATACACTGCAAGGTAAGAACCCTGGCATTTATACAGAGCTGCTTTATGTATTTAGTGATAGAAAATAACCAGAGTCCCATCTGTTTCACTCCTGGGGAGCCAATGCCAGAGTGTTAGCTACAGGCTGTGCCAGTGCTTTTGTCCAGTCTTATTTCAAATGACCCAAGCAGAGGAACTGCTACTTTTCTGTTCTCTCTCCTGTTCTGCAATTCCTCATTCCATTTTCTATGTCTATCAGTCTGTCTCATTGACAGACTGGATCAGACGCAGTCAAGTGGACTATACAAGATCTTTCTTTCTTTTTCTTTCCCTTTCTTTTTCTTTCTTTCTTTCTTTCTTTCTTTCTTTCTTTCTTTCTTTCTTTCTTTCTTTCTTTCTTTCTTTCTTTCTTTCTTTCTTTCTTTCTTTCTTCGGAACAGCTACATATGTCCCTCTCTTGTTCCGTGCATGAATCTGAATACACTTTATTTCTCCCACAGAGCTGTGGGCTCACCTACTGCTATATTTTCACTAATGTATGTGGTCAATTAGTAAGGATTCAGAAGATTTCTTTGTTCGGTTGAATCCACAAACATTAAGTAGCTCCACTGAGCCCCAGTGAGGTAGTCTTACTTTAACTTCTGTAGTGCCTTTTTTCTTAAGTTGTTCCATGTACAAGAAAACTAGCCTGACACCTCCTAGTAAACTCTTGCAATCTCTGAAGTAAATCCAAATCCCACGTGTGTCTGAACCACCATTGCCAAAGGTATAGATCCATTTTTGGTTAATTTTAGGTGACTAAAAATCTCCTTTAAAACTATATTTCAATTTCAGTGGCTAGTTTTAAATCCATGAGTATCCTTATATTCAAAGATTAGACTTCCAGTAAAATGTGCATGTCTTTGCACTTCCAGTTAGAACACATAGGTGCCACAGTTGCATACAAATGTACGCACAAGGGGACACACACATTCTTTTGGAAAGTTTAGGCCCATGTATCTCAGACTCACACAATTACTTATTAATCTGTTTTGTTTCCAGGCTATTACTGTTGAAGTTACTCAGCTTTGTCTACATTGGGTTTTAGCCACTGGAGTAGCTTATACATCTGACATAACAGCAAAAGGACATACTGCGACTTGCACTGGTGTGAAGTCATGGCTTGAGCTGCTGGAGTATATCAGAGTAGCCAAAGGGCTTGCTCAAACCAATTCGGAGAATAAAGGGGTTTGATTATTTTAACATGATAGGGTCTTTGTATTTCCATAAATGGAGAATGACATTTTTCGGTATATCTAGACTACATGGCTCCGTTGATGGAGCTGTGTAAACTAGTTTACCTGGCATAGGCAAATAAGCAGGGATTTAAATAATCCCCGCTTCATTAAAATAAACATGGCCGCCGTGCTGTGCCAACAATCAGCTGATCCGGCACAGCGCGGCAGTCTAGACGCGGATCGGTCGGCTGGGGAAGCCTTTGCCAACCGATCCTGTAAACCTCGTTTCACTCTGATGCAAGTTAAATAACACCCTTTCTTGCAATCTGGATTATTAAAACAGCACCAAAGTTCAAACAGTGCTTTGGTATATACTGAGTCTGTCCTTACTCCACAGTTTCTTCAACCACTTGTTCAGTTCTACAGTGCTTTTTTGAAAACCCTATCCCCTGGACATGGGCACTTCTTCTTGGCTGGTATCTTTCTGCCTTGTGTCTGCCTTAAAGCCCAACACCTGGAGAGGCAGGTGATAAGTTCTAATGAGTCTGAGCCCTCTAAGGGCCAGCCCATCCAGTGACAGGCAGTCAGGATTTCCCAGAGAATTTGTAACCACTTCACAAGAATTACTCTGAAACATTGACGACTGTTATAGTCAGGCTTATTTTGTTCTGCTGAGTGATAGTCAAGTATTATTCATTGAACTTGAGTTCCCACCTTAAGAACTCAGTTTCCTTTGGTCCTGAAACTTTTCTAATTCACTTCATGGATAAAAACACATGCATGGAAACTGCTTGAGTAGGAGTCACCAAAAAGCTGCAAGTGCTGTTAGGTCTGGGACGAATGCTTATTACTAGCTGTGATATTGTTTTTAAAAGAGACTGAGCACATCTTCACAAAAGTCTGTTCTCTGTGCCGGAATCCGTCTGTGTGAAACTTATTCTTCAGCTAAGAGCTGCTCTTTATAGGTTAGACCCAAGCAAGCAAGCAGAATATTATGTGGTGGTGACATGTGTGTCCCCATAATGTCACTTGGCTGCAGTATTTGGAAATAAAGCTGACTGCAGATAGTCAATGGTAATTAGTTCGTGAGGATCCTCAATCTATCATTATTTTCACACGAACAACTATACAGTCAAATTGCATTTCGGGCCTTGGTTAGTTCCAGAGATCTCCATGTCCAAAACACATTCTGCTGCAGAGTCATTGTGGCTTCTGTTTACTTGATTTATACGAGTTCTGCATACAGTTCTAGAGCAAAGTGCCCTTACTTCATCCCATTGTTTGCCAGCTGCAGATTTTGCAAGGCATATTGGAAAGTCAGTCATGTGACTGACATCTGCACACTAGAAGTAAGATGTTATTTTTGTACTGTGGCTTGTGCATTGTTCATTTGGAAACAAACGCTGAAGGAGCCCACAGTGTGAGGCTGTTTTTCCTCCATGCTGAGCATGTGCTGCAGCCACAGGACAGAGCTCCGTGGAAGCAGCTAGCTGGCTTTGAAACTGATGTGATTTCTGCAAAAATATGGCTGTTGGTAAATGACTGATTCTTAAAAAAGTCCTTCCCCCTCCTTTCTTTTCTGGAAATTTGACTAATAAACACTGAATAAATAATAATGGCATCTGATGGCCCCAGATTTAAAGTTTGGTAGGTAGTAATTCTGAATGGCTATGAAGAAGAGTAACACAATGAACAAGTCTTCTGACTCCAACAGGGCTTGAAACCCAGATCTGCTCAAAGGCATCATCTGACCTTTCAACCCTGTTATCGCTCCTTTAAGGTAAACATGATCCTCTGACTGATAATGAGTTCATGATATAGTTAGGAAACAATCTAGCCCTTGGAAATGTCACTGATTTCATGGATATTAGCTTCCTGGAGGTTGATTTTATTAATAAAACAATTAATCATAACATTACATAAAGTGCAGCTCAAGCCTCCTTCCATGGCTTGGCTGCTCCTAGGATTCCTCTTTCAGAATATCGTAGCATAGTTTAGTTTAGCTCAGCTCAGCCTACCCCCTAAGATCCTCTGCTCCTAGAAAGCCACTCCCACCTCCCTTTTATCCAGAGGGAGCAATGGGCTATCTGCCTCAGTTAGTCAGCAGAATCCATTTAACTGTTTCCCAGCAGGATTAACACCTATTAATGGGATGAAATGTTTCAGTCAAATGCTACAAGCCTGTTGCAATCTTCCGTTATTGTCCACGATTGTAGTATACAGGACACATCATAAAGAGAAGCTAGATAATTTCATGGAGGTTAGGTCCATAAAAGGCTATTAGCCAGGGAATAAAATGGTGTCCTTGGCCTCTGTTTTTCAGAGGCTGGAGAGAGATGGCAGGAGACAAATTGCTTGATCATTGCCTTCGGTCCACCCTCTCTGGGGCACCTGGTGTTGGCCACTGTCGGTAGACAGGATACTGGGCTAGAAGGACCTTTGGTCTGACCCAGTACGGCTGTTCTTATGTTCTTATGATAACACTGTGCACCCTACTAACCAGCCAAGAAGCAGGGTTCAGCCCTTGAGAGCACACATGCTTTATCCCAGCGCTATTCAACACACGGCCCGTGGTGCGGTTTGGGTTTACACAGGGTTCAACACATGGTCCCATCGGTCGGATCCTTTGAACATGGCCTCCACTAGGAACATGCTCCAAAATGGCCAGCCATCTCCTGGGGGGGGAGGGGAGGTGAGCACTGAAAGACACAAGCGAATGTTGGTGTTTCTAGCCCCCAGGGTGGAAGTGTTGGAAGCACTGGAGCACTGTGGGAAGTGCTGGCTGCTTAGCCTTGAGATGCTGACTGGCTTACACTGGCCACATTTGGTTCCGGCATCACGGCTTAAGGCTTAATCTTTGTATTCAAGTCTGTCAGTGTGAAAGAAGCTATTTGCATATATTTGCATATATATTCACATGTATATGCAACCACACTTAAGTTGCGGCCCTCGGCATGTGCTGTGAGTATCATTGTGGCTCCTGGGGCTTCCAAAGTTCAGTAGCCCTGCTTTATCCCATTTCCTTCCCTAACATACTGCCCCCTCCATCTCGGAGGGGTCAGTGTTTCACCTACACCCCATTCAGTGAGCATTCTGTGGCTGAGACAGCTTTTCAGGGTTCCGAAGGCAGAAAGAGAGACATTTGGTACACTTGGGTCAGAAATTGGCTTTTTGAGTACAGCCCAGTCTGTGAGCATTCACAGCAGGGACAGATGGTTGGCCCTTCTCATTTCAGTGTTGTTCTCTTTTCAGCTGCCGGGAGTTTAGGGTAGTAATTTTTCCGGTAGGCTGCTGTGCAGCGTGGGGGCAGGAGGCGGGGGGGCAGTGGAATGAGAACACTGGAAAGTGGTGTCCTCTCACAAGGTACAAGCTACAGCTCATTCTGATGCTTAACCTTAGTGGTTTGGGATGATGAAGACTGATATGAGGTAACTGGCAGCAGTAGCTTCTAGGAAAGTAGCTGTGTCAGCCCGAAGGAAGGCTTTTAGCTTCATTCCGCAAAGCTCTAACATCCTGTTCCATGTACTCATGTTCATTGTGCACAAAGAGGCCAGAGCTGAGAGTGAATGGAGTATAAATGCGTGGGTTTATACACTGAATAGGCAGCAGCTTGGCTGGGTCTCTCAGTCCTTTCATGCATGAAATTCACCACAAGGAGAGAACTGGATGCTCTGCAGCATGAGATAGGGGCCAAAGCTGCTCATTTGCAAGGCTGCTGAGAGGGATACTTCTGTGCTAGCATGTACTGGAAGCACTGGTTGCTGGAATCAGTGCTTTGGGCAGCTTCTGGAGCTGGTTTCTCTGCCTTGTTTTACATTCTTTGCATGCTGTTGCTACTGGGCTTGGGATATTAGAGCTTCATGTTGTCCATTCTGTACTTTCCTGACCCATTGCCCTGCAGGACACCAGTGATTTCCTGATTAGCAGCCAAATGACTCCTTAGCACAAGGAGCGTAAACGGTAAGCATCATACTCGGACTCAGGAATCCATGAGCTCTTTCTTGGCACTGACTCCCTCTATGACCTGGGTCCAGTCACTTGTCTGCCTCACCCGGGTTTTGTGAGGAATAGTTAATATTTACAAAGTGCTGAGTGTCATGAATAATTTGCTAAGATTTATAAATCATTCTGAAGGTGGAAAGTGCTATGTAAGGACTGTGTGGCTACGTCTACACTGGCCCCTTTTCCTTTAAAGTAGGAATAAGATCCTCCGGAAAAGGGCTTTTTTTCCGGAGGATCGGGGCCAGTGTAGACGCTCTTTTCCGGCTTTTCTAAAAGCCAGAAAAAAGCGGCGGACATTTTTATTTAAATGCCGCGGGGGATATTTAAATCCCCCGCGGATTTCCCTATTACGATCTCAAAAATTAACATGCCCCTTCCGGAAAAGGGGCCAATGTAGACGAGCCCAGAGTGTTTGTTATTTATTGTTACTGGGGATTCTAGTGGAGAATGTGACAGATTTAAGCACTCGTAATTGTGATACTCCCTGGACTGATTTACTTCAAATGTACCTGGACGTCTAGCTGTTCCAGTTTCAGTAGTTCTGAATCCATCAAAAATGCTCCAAGTCTTGGAGGTTCTGACGACTCTTTCTGTTATTATCTTATTTAGATGCTTGTATCTTTCCCTCACTATTTTTTTTCTCTCTCTCTGACAACTCACCAGCCATTTATTTTCAAAATGAAATCTCATATTGGAATTAGCCCTCTGGGAAGATTAGTTTAGAGTGAAAAGAGTTGGTTTAGAAATCAGGATATTATGAACTTTCTCTTTCATTAACCCTTTTCTTTCCATCATGCTCCCGTGGCACAGATTGTAATGAGAAGCAGAGCTCTGCCTGTGTTGTATTTAGGATTAGATCTGGCAGTTTATCCAGCACCCTGTATTGGAGGTAGTACAGAGCTGTCCCCACCCTCCAGGGAGTTCTGGGAGGGATTGCTGTTGCCTATAGCTGTCTCACTGCTCTATCTTGCATAGCATATGTCTACACTGCAGAGCTATTTTGGGATACTTCTGGTATCCCCAAATAATTATTCTGCGTCTTTTAAGCAAGCCTGTTATTTTGAAAGATAATGGGCTCGTTATTCTGACGTCCCTGTAAACCTTGTTCCACGAGGATTAAGAGACGTTTCAGAATAGCAGTTTAGTTTGAAATTTGGAGCTGGATAGATTGCGCCAAATTACAAAATAAGCTATTTTGAAATTGACTTGAAATAAGCTGCACAATTTGCAGTTTAAGGGTGTAGTGTAGATGGACCCATAGTGAAATGAAGAAAATTAACATGCAGGCAAAATATATGGGAAATTTTCATGACAGCAAGATGTGATGGTCAATAGAAGAATCTTCCTAAGGGAAAGGGAAGAATTTCATCACTTGGATAATTTAAAATGAATCCTGAACATGTCCCTGGAGAATAGGCCCTTGAAACAGTCCTGCACTGGCAGGGGACACGATGGATTGACTGGATGGAGCTAATATGTCTTTCTTCTTTCCTGTGTTCTGTGATTCTGTCTCATCTTTCTCTGATCATGTTACCTATTGATTCCAGGGCCAATCCACACAGCTCCTGGTAGCCTAGGGTTATAAATCCTCTCCCAAGTACTGAGGACTGTTTCTGCCTCAGCTTTAGAAAGCAATGCCACCAACAGCTGTGAGAGAAGCGAGCAGGAGGCAAATGGTGACTGCTTCCTTGTGCTCCCTGGACCCTAGCTGAGTGCAGAGGGGAGAGGCAGTAAAGCAGGAAAGAAGTCTGCCCCCTTCTAATTTCCTGAATGCTGCAGTGGTTCCAGGGAAGAGCAGTCAATCTCTTCCCTTGAGCCTGTCTGGGTACTCACAGAAACTGGAGCTGGAGGGAGGAGAATCCACTCCAAGAGTAGCAAACAAGAGTACAGTTTGTGGCAGGAGAATGCAAAACTATACGGATGGGTGTTTGGGGGCTCACTCAGTAGGAAGAAGGGAGAATGAAACAGCGAGGTGGAAGCAGACCCATCATCCTTCCCTAAAGATGCCAGAAGAGGAGGAGGTGGCAGGTTACCAGGCCTCCCATAATAAGACAGAGACAGGAAAATGCTAGTGAGGTCAGGTTCTCAGAAACTTGCTAGGGCCTCTATGGAATCCCAGTCACCCCCCAACTTGTGGATGCTATCTGAACCCCAAACCTTCTGATGATCTTTTGTTTCTAGATTTTAGGGATTTTTCACATTATTTCCAGGGGGGTTGGATCAGTTTAAGTCCATATTAATTAACCTGCCTTTATATTTCTTCTAGTGCCAAGGTCAAGTATTAAGAGCTTCTGTTAACACTGGCTGCCAGCAAAACCTCATCTCCATGAGCTGTCTGAAACGCCTGGGGTAAGAGCCTTTTTGCAGAAGAGACGGAGGTGGGACAGAAAACACAGCATTTAAACTGGGCTCAGTCTGAATCTGAAATTACCACTTTTGGTCATACCCCAACTCCAGTTCATATAGGGAACCCCTGTATTCACACCTGGTGCTTACGATGTGGGGAGCCCAAAACTGGAAATGCAGGGGGTCAGAGGAAAGGACTGAGGGGCACTGGCAGGGTTGTGAGGGGGAGCCCAGGGCTGGAATAGCAGGGGGCTGCAGGGTAGGACTGAGAGGCACTGGCAGAGCTGTGTGGGAAATCCAGGACTCCACTCCCTCCCCACGAGTGCCTCGCTGCCACTAGCAATGCCAGATCAACTCCTCTCCCGGTCCCCTTCCCAGCACTACTGTCAATCAGCCAGTTCTGCAGTATGCAGAAGGTGCTTGGAGGGAGGGAGAGAAGTGGGCACAGGGTGTGCTCAGGGTAGGGAAGATGCCAGGAAGATGTGGGCAGGGCTTGTAGTGGAAGGGGTGTTAAGCATGCCCCCCAGTAGAGAGGAAGTCAGCACTCATGGCTGCAGAGCAGGATTGAGGAGCATTGGCAGAGGGGTAACAGTTTGGCTGTAGATAACTACATATCCCAAGATGACCAGATGATTCTTTGCACCTGCTCAGGGAAACCTGCCCCCAAAGTGCCTCAGGGCTACCCCTGGAAAATCTGTCTCTCTCTGACATGCCTGTTACATGAGTGAGCTCCCCTTTTCAGCAGGCCAGTCCCACGGAGTCAGTGAAGTGCCCATAACTACTTGGAGCTCCCAGTGTTCTTCCCCCTCTCCATGCCATGTTTCAGGCAGTAACATCCCTTGTGTCCCACAGGCTGCAGGAAGTGTCCGATGCTGACCATGGGGATCTCTTCCTTCCTGTCCTAAGTGTGGTTGGCCAGGTGGAGTGTGTGGAGGTGCAGCTTGGCCAGGAGACAGTAGTGTGCTCAGCGCTGATTGTAGGTAAGCACAACAGAGCTTCCTTTCCCCTTCCCAGATCGCTTCTTCCTTCCCTGCTGAGCACACCTATATCGCTCCTCTAGGAGCAGGGATGGGGGGAAGGTCCCATGGCCCACAGGGCTGGGCCCAGGCACAGTACCATGTACTAAAGACAATAGATGGGGAAAGGCTCCAGAACTTCTTGCTGTGTCCCCCTCCCAGAGATCCCTTCCTGCAAGGATGGCTATGTGTGTCAGTGTTCCCTGCCGCAGAAATGTATTGTAGAAAAGTCTGGAAACTAGAAGCAGAATCTTGTTGGGAGGGGCTGATGGGAATGAAGGCATTGGAGGGAGTAGCAGGGAGATTGCATTTTTTGCAGGAATGTGGATCTCTGCATTCAACAATAACGAATTCTTCTTTCCACCCCTTCCCCCCATCATATTTATCTTCTCAGCCATCACTGATTTCTCCCAGTGCCTTTGTCCCCTCCTCCTCCGCCCCACTTATTAACTCCCAGCCCCCTTTCTGTCATGTTCCTCTGTTGTCTTTAGCCCTCCTTACTGTACCTCTGCCACACCCTTTCCTCCTTCGATTCTGGTTTCTATCGCTCTCCGCACCCCAGCTCACTTTATTCTTTTTCCCTCCCCCTCTTTGCTTCTGCTCATCCCTAGTTCTGTGTCCTTCCAGTATGGGAAAGTGGGACTTCTCCTCCAGCCTTTCTGATGGCTGCTTGTGTATAGGAGTCTGGGCAGGCAGAGTAGCACTTAATCCCTGCAGGCTGCAGCTGTGGGATGGCTGGAGTTCAGGAGTCTGGGAAGATAGGGGTTGCCACACTCTACTATGCCTCACATGCTGACCCCATATGTGCCATCATTTTGATAACTTTTAGCAAGTTCCAGCTACAGTCATAAGACAGGTGCTGTGTAAAAGCAACAGTCAGAAAACCCTTATGCCTGAGCCTGACTCACTTCCTCTCTGGTTCCCCAGAGGATGAAATGCTGGAGTTCTGTTTCGGCCTCCAGACTCTGCTGTCTCTCAAGGTAAGGAATGGGTTCCCTCTCATCACATCTATGCATGGAGCAGTTGTGATGTCTCCACAAGACCCCAGCTGGGGCTGCAGGAAGCATGCAATGCTGCTGGCCAAACCTATCAGGATGTCAGCCACCCTGCTTCCTGATCTCCGGTTGCAGCACGCTCTTCGCTGCTATGGATCTCCAGTCATTAAAAAACCTTAGCGGATAAGGCAGTGGCTAGGGCCCTGTGCAAACCCATGGGAGAGAGACAGAGTATCTCCCAGTCCTGGTGTCTCTGTCCTGGGAGCGGGGCAAATGCTCTGCTCAGGGACACGAGGCGAGGAGATTTCATCTCTCAAAAGTAGCCCCATCCTCACAGTATCTTTGATGTACCTTGAAGAATCCCCACCAGTCTCCATCATGCAGGAGGATGGGCCTGTCTGTGCATGGAGTGAATGGACTTTGAATTGTTCAGTGGAGGGAGACTCAGCTGGGAAATCTCTCTTAGAGGTTTTGCCTCCCTGCAGTGTAGGGACAGAGAGCATCTATGCCTGCCATTCCCAAACACAGCCTGTGACTGAGATCCTAGCACAGCTCGAAGAGAAAGCCCCGTCTTGATTCGGTTGTGATTACTCAGAACATCAGACAATGCTTCCTAGGAGAAGAAATGCTTTTTGCAGCTGTGAAACTCCCCTATCCTGCAGACAGAACAGAGAGAACTACAGAAGGAGAGGGATGAATGCAAGTGTAAAGAAAACCTCAACTGTAACTGTGCTAAGAAAGCCAGTGAAGGCCTTGTAGATGTGTAAATAAGAGGCAGCAAGGATAGAGACAAAAGGTGAATGGGGTGAGAAGATGGGGCTGGGAAAATGCAGGAATGGGAGCGTGGACAGATGAGTGGGAAAGGGGAGGATGGAAATAGGGAGCAATGAGGGAAGGGAAAACAATGGGGCTGGGCACTGTCACTCAATGGGAGGGATGGCGTCAGGCTGAAGACTGATTGACTCCATGATCTGGAAGGTGGGGAAGAGACAGAACCAGGTGTGCAGTGTGGGATCAGTGTACCCCAGGGCCATATGCAGGGGTGAGAGAGAAACACAATGGGGAAGCAGAGGGAATGAAGGCAGGGAGCTAAGAGCGGAAGGTGATTTGGAAGCTACCCAGCCTGGAACGTGTTGGGGGGTGGGATGTCTTTGGTCCCCCTAACAAGGGCCAAGTATGCAATGCGTGAATAAGGAGGCTGTGCTGAAGGTGCGAGAGAGCCACCTGAGCAGGCCTTGCTGGGGAGCTGGAGACGTGAGGGGAGGGAAGGAGCAACGAAGGTCTATTCAGAAGAAGAGGTCCAGTTGTGTTAGGGGGATGGAAGGAAAAGAAGGCCGACAGTGGAGAGCATCCTAAGGAAGAATGCTTCCTTAATGAATGCTTTGAATCTGATGGAAGGGTGCATGCGAAAATCTGGCTTGGGGGGGGGGGGGCTGATTATTGGATGGGCTCCAGCTTCTTGTGGTAATAGACACCACACAGTCTATATACCCTGCTGATGCCTTGTGACTCTGATATGCACTATGAGTAACCAGCTATCGTCTGCACCCACTAGTGCTGCATCGACTTGGAGGAAGGAGTCCTGCGGCTGAAAGCCCTGAATGAAGAGCTGCCTTTCCTAAATGCCTCTGATGAGCATGGGCAGTGATGGGCTGGCTCCCCATGTCCACAGGGAAGAGACTCTGCGTCCTACCAGAGAAACCTGCAGCTGGGGCTGACACACCTGAATCTTGCTGAGTCCTGGTGCTGATACTGGGGATGGAGGAGATAAACGGGAGCCAGGTGCTGTTCCACAGTTGTTGATAGAAGCTGACCTCTTGTATGGAGAGCTCTTCCTCCTTGCAATGGACACTCCTGCTTGTCCCCACGTGCTGCGTGGATAGTTGTTCTTTGTCCCTGTTCTCTCTGGTTCCTGCTTTTGCCCTTTTAGTGACTTCTTTTTACACTGCCATGGATTGAGAACATAGAAAGTGTCACTGCAAGCAGTCTCCAGAGGTTCTGCCTGCTTTCTTCTAAAGCCTCTGAAGATTAAAGTTTTCCTTCCCTTTTGGATGCAGGTCTACCTGGACAAGAATGAACTCTCTTCCCTTGAGGCCTGGGTAAAGCCCTATGGCCAATGGCCCCCTATCCTCTGGAGAACTGGATTTCATTGCCCTGCACTGGCCCAGAGCAGACTAGAAGGATTTTACTGGAAGTGGCTACATTGCAGTCTCTGTATTTTGAGAGTTTTCATTCAAAGCAGGCAAACTTCTAGGAAAGGCTGAGCTGAAACACCCTGCAAGCAATGGAGGCACCAGGGCCTGGCCAGGCCAGCCTTTGCTACCAGTCTGTATTGTATGAGCTCCAGTGCTAGTCTCTCTCCCTGATAACCGTAGGAACTGTGCTGACACCCCCGCTGGCCAGGAGCGCTAGTCACCAGATTAATACACGCATCAGTGCTGCTTCTTCACTGGGAGGGATTCAACTGGGATATCACACAGCCTATATCTGCCATCAGCTATCCTCTTCTAGCCTGGACTCTGGCTATTCAACAAAGAGACACCATCTACTTCAATCACTGCACTTTCACACCCCATTGGAAAGGAAAGAACCTGACTCCTTCCCAGTATCAGATCAGATTACAAACTCACCTGGAATGGACAGAAAGTGGGAAAGGGGGAGGGAGGTCATCCTTTCTCCTTCATACAGGTGGGCCTGATTTCATTACCCTAAAAGCATCGCATCAATATCTCAAGGGACAGGCACACTATAACCATTGTGGGCAGCTGTCTCCATTCTCAAAAGTATGCATTGGATAATTTTTGTTTCTAATCTTTGACTAAAATTTTCTATTCTACAATACGTGCCCAGTTACATCTTTTCTCCTCAATGACTAATGAGAATAACTGATGCCAGCCTCCTTCATAATGTCCCTTTATTCACTTGTAAATGGTTCTAATGTCTGCTCTTTGGCATCTTTTTCCTGGATCCATCTGGGTTTGTTTTCTTTCTTTCTTTCTTTCTTTCTTTCTTTCTTTCTTTCTTTCTTTCTTTCTTTCTTTCTTTCTTTCTTTCTTTCTTTCTTTCTTTCTTTCTTTCTTTCTTTCTTTCTTTCTTTCTTTCTTTCTTTCTTTCTTTCTTTCTTTCTTTCTTTCTTTCTTTCTTTCTTTCTTTCTTTCTTTCTTTCTTTCTTTCTTTCTTTCTTTCTTTCTTTCTTTCTTTCTTTCTTTCTTTCTTTCTTTCTTTCTTTACTGAGGCATAACTAGTGCTAAGAAGAGTGGAATAATTACCCTGCTTATTTTATATATAATACTCCTGTCAATGCAACTCAGTATGGCATGTGCCTCTCTTAATGGATGTGTCGCACTGTTGACTCTTACTCAGTTCATCACCCATTGTATCTGGCAGCTCCTTTTCTGTGGTGTAGATGCCTAGTTCAATGTTTTACAATTGTGCATCCGATGATTTCTTCCTATGTGACACACTTTACATGCCTTTCCTGAATAATAACAATGATTTAAAGGTCTTTGTCTCATATGTGTCATGATTGTCCTGTATTATGATCCTATCCTTTGAATATCTGCAGTTCCTCTTAGATCTGTATCATTTGTGCATTTGAATTTTTACTGAGCACATTGGCTGGTATCGGAACCTCTTTCAAATTTGACATTGACTCTTGAATGAACACAATTTGTTAAATGCGTTGTTTATTTTTATATCCCACCCTGCGGCAACTCATCGAGTCCACAACTCTCTAGTTTCATTCAAAGGATAGTTTGTGGAAATGTATCAAATAACAGCTATTGATTTCAACAGGTTATGTCCACTCCATTTCCTTTATCCATTAAGTTTGTTATTTCATCAAACAAACAAAACCTAAGAGTTCTCTCTAGCTCAGACTGGAATCAATAGGTCTTTACACTGATTTTAATGGGAGGATTGGTTCCTGTGGTAAACTGGTATGATTTTTCTTTGAGAAATATACTTTGCTTACTGTTTCTTGTTTTTGTGTAGGTGCTCACTACTTGGCTTCTCTGTTATCTGCTTGTACAATATACCAGGCATTGCAGTTAAATTTACTCACCTGTAAGTCATAGACTCATAGAAGATTAGGGTTGGAAGAGATCTCAGGACAGGGATGGGCAATAATATGTGATGGGGGGGGCCACTCAAAGTAAGTGGTAAACCTCACTCTTTCATGATGGCCCAGGCAGCTCCCATTGGTCACTTTTTGGCCACTGAGAGCTGCAAGATTGTGCTGGGGGATGGGGTGGCACACAGAGAGCACATGGCCCCTGCAACCGAACACTGAGTGGTGTGAGGGGGCATGGCAGGCTGGGAGCCGTCTGAGGTTCCCTTTGGGCTGTTGGACGGTAGTGGGCTGGATCCAACCTGGGGGACGTATTTTGCCTGCACCTGCCTCAGGTGGTCATCTAGTCCAACCCCCTGCTCAAAGCAGGACCAACCCCAACTAAATCATCCCAGCCAGGGTTCTGTCAAGCCAGGACTTAAAAAGCTCTAGGGATGAAGATTTCAACACCTCATTAGGTAACCCCATTCCAGTGCTTCATCACCCTCCTAAGGAAATTGTTTTCCTGGTATCCAAACTAGACCTCCCCCATTGCAACGTGAGACCATTGCTCCTTGTTCTGTCATCTGCCATCACTGAGAACAGCCTAATCCTGGGATCCTCCTCTTTTTATTCTCCTTCAAAAAATCCTTTGCTTTTTCTCTTTCCTTCCAGAGGCTTTATCTTTCATCAGTTCTCAATTTAATCTCCAAAGGTTCTGATGCTTCTGCTTACTCTGATTGCACAGTGGTGTGAATTTCACCAGCCTCCGTGGCTGTGGATAAATTTAGGTTATCTGGCTATTCTGTACTCTCTTCCTCTCCATAATGAATCATTTCAGTTTCCTCCTTTGGCTTGTTTGTTCTCCTATCCTGATAAGTACCAGATCTGCCCTTTTCTATGTTAGCCTCTTGTTTCTCTCATAAATATTATAGTGATGCTTTCTTGTTTCTTTTGCTAATATCCCGATTTTGTGCCTTTGCTTTTCCAGTCTCTCCTCTTTCTCCTGCTTTTGAATCAGTCATGTATGCTTGCATGCAGTCTCTATGTCAGTTGTGTTGAGGCTGTTTCTGCTTGATCCTTACATCTGTGCACAGGAGACTCTAATTCCCAATTTGTTATCATCAGACATGCTCTTCCACTCTCCTCCCTATTGTGTCAGTCAAGTGCCTGGTACTTCCAATAGGTCACTCGGTACTGAGCTCTCTGGCATTTACCTTCTCCCTGAACACTGTGGACCCTTTTGTAGATAACAGCATTTACCCTCAGCATTATCTGGGTTGCCAAATCCTGTCCCAGCCCCAACGCATAAAGGGCAGAAGCAATACAGGCAGTGAGAGCTTTAGGCTTGAATCAGGTTGAGATCCCTTCCACCGCTTCCTTTGCTCCCTCCCTTCACTGGGAATTGAATCATGGTTTGGCCTCTTTTCCTTTGCATCAGAAATGGAACCTCTGCCCAGCACCCTTGCTGGGCTCTGCCCTCGCATGACAGCATCAAATGTTGCCAGTTCTCACCATTTCACCATTTTGCACTCTTTGGTGTTCATCTTCAAGCCCCCGCTGCTGGAGTCATTGGATTACACAAGAACCACTGCTTGATTTTTTGAAAAAAGTCAGTTTCATGGTGCAATAAAGTATTAATAACCAAGTGACAAATAAAAAGAAACCCAAATAGCTTAATTGTAAAATGTCATGATTTTTAAGCCAGTCCCATGATTTTCAGGGGGATGACTTGTGATGTTTGCGCTCTTAGAGTTAGTGATGCTAATGATGGCTTAACCCTTGTTTAACTTTGGAAAAGCCTCAAGTGCATTTACAAATGTATTTTCTCCTAGAGCCATTGTCAGTGCTTAGTCATCCTTGTTTTCCTGAAAGGCACCAAAGACTAAAGTCCTCTTCCACTGGACAGGAGAAAATATCAAGCAGATCTGAAGCATGATTTTTCTATGAAATATAAGTACTGTAAGGGGGTAACAACGGGGGATGGTGAAGAGCTATTTAAGCTAAAGGCCAATGCTATCCCAAGAACAAATGGATGTAAACTGGCCACAAATAAATTCAGTCTGGAAATTGGAAGGTTTCCAACCATCAGAGGGATGGGGTTCTGGAACAGCCTCCCAGTTGGGAGCTGTGGGGGGAAACAAATGCATTAGTTTCAAGAGAGGGGACAAACTTTTGAGTATAACTGTATGGGGGGATATGCTTGTAATGGGGCCAGAGTATAGCTAAGCAGTCATGGGTCTCACTTCTGTCCTGTGTTTCTAAAGTTCATGCTTCAAGGCTTCAGACAGCCATTTATAGGGGTCAGGAAGGCCTCCATGTATTCTGGGAAGTTTTTTATCTCCTTCTTCAGAGCATCAAGAAAGGCTATGACTGGCGATGGGACATTGGGCAGGGTGGGCTAGGGATTCTGAGATGGCCCCAAGCATTCTCTCTCTTGCAGGTGCTTGGCTGGCTGGGTCTTGCTCACAAGCTCAGGCTCTAAGCGATCCCCCCAGGTCAAACTGGCAAGTAACAGTGGGGAGGCATCCATTTTTATTGTCTCACGGGAAAAAAAATCTTTTTGTTTGGAAACTGAGCATCCTGAACTGGAATCAGTTATGGTTCAGATCTTACATTCTGTTGATTTCAAAGAAAGGTAAGAACCTAAATTCCTTCAGGGATCTGGGCCTAAATGCCAATCCTGCAAGCTGCCTAGAATCTCAGAGTCAAGCGTGCTCATTCTTTCTCCTCTGTTATTACCTGTGACTAAGAGGCTGTCGGGCAAATTCTGCCCTGTGTGACACAGTGGAGTCCTAGTGCCATCAGTGGAGTTGCACAGATGTCAATGATCATAGCAAGGCAGGAACAGAATCCAGCTCCCTCTCTCAGTCGTGCTGGTTCTGCGGGGTGAAAGCATTACGAGCAGCAGAGATTACCCTGAATGTACCCTAAGAAGAAGGGGCCATGTTTAGTCACTTCTCATTGTAGAGCCACACTTTAGTGGAAGTTATTCAAGTAGGGTTGCCACCACTGATTGCTGGGTTGCAGCTTGGGACATGGAGAGAAAGGGAAGTTATCATTTGGCACAAAGGCAAGATAAAGACTGCCCTGATCCTCAGCAGAAGACAACACTTCTGGTTTGTATAAGGGATTTTTGTCCTTGCCCTCCTCCTGTGCATGTAATGGGAACAGGGGAAAGATGGGACTAAACAGGAACAGCCACTGGCTTTGATTGGTAGGAACAATCTAGACCAGGGAGGAGCAACCTAGACTAGTGAGTGGGCTGCATTAGTGGCCCTCCTTCAACTCAGTGGGCTGCAAGATTGTCATAACCAAGACGGTCTCCTGGGATAGGGTAGTTTTACTAACTGTGCTTGTATACCAAGAATTTGCAATATGTGACCAGTAGCGCTCTGATTGCATGCAAAGGAGCATATGGTTCTCACAATGCTGTGTGCACCTCACTTCTCATCCTTTTGCTTTAAATGTGTATCACTTTTGTAATTCCAGTAGGAAAAAAAATTACATAGACAAAAAACAGCACAATCTGGCAACCTTGTGCGTGGACAGTGGTAAACAAAATGTCTTGTGGGCCTCATAAAAAACCCTGATGGGCTGCAGGTTGCCCACCACCAATCTAGACCACAATCTGACCTGTGTGGCGGAGTCTGTGTTTTATATGAACATGCTGCAGCCACCGTACCAGGACAGTCATTTGTGCTCCCTTATCTCATGTGTTGTTAATAAAGATTTCTGCTTCAAGCAGGCAGCCAAAAGCAAGTCATTCTCTGTTGTTATTGACCCAGCTGAGCAAACAGCTGCTCTTCTGTCAGGCCACTGGGAATGCTATACAATAGCCACAGCCCGGGCTCAGAGTACTTAGGCAGCTCTGCCAGTCTAATCCCGGCATTGGCAGATGGAGAGCTCCTGGTAGCAGGCTGTGGGAACCCTTTGGTGAGGGGGACCCCATCAGGAGATGTAATCAGAGTTGGGACATGTAGTAACTCCTGCCAACCAAAGTGGGATGTGCAGGGAACAGAGCTTGAGAAGAGGCATCACGCTGTGGCCATGCAGGACTATATCTGTGTATAATTTTCTTTTCATAAGCACTCTATGTTGGCGCATGTGTAAAAAATACCCAGACAAACGAAGTGTTACGGTAATGAGCACAAGAGCACATGTGAGACTGGGAGCGTGTGTGTTTCTGTGCGGAACTGCATGCCAAATGGAAGGGACAGAGGAGCATTGGCAGAGGTGTAGGCAACTATGTGCCTACATCACAAATTCATCAGAGTCCCATAGGATTGGCAGAGGAAGCCTGTGTAGAAAACCTGCTTAGACTCCAGCTCCATTGGAGTCTCGCTGCTTTCACTCCTTATAACAGTGGGACATAGAAGCTTTATAGACATAGGGAGAAACATGCATCAGACCCTCCCTCCCCAGCAGTACAGCACGGGAAAGTGATTATTTTTGTCACTTTCTTCCACTCCAGGAATGTTAGGTGAATGTTCCCTGGGAGCACACCAACACCTGTGGCAAGAGCTTTCTCCATCATTTTTACAGAGACAGACCTATACTGCTGTTCAGTGCCCAGCCTCAAAAGCCAGGTGGGAAATGCTGAGTTTTGGCTGTGTTAGAAATGAAGATAATTGCTAACCATGAGTCTTCTGCAAAGCCTGACTGTGTTGGGGCTGGAGACCGTAATTGACTTGCAGCCTGGACGTAGAATAAGATGCTAACTATCGCAAGTTTTCTAGTGGGATTCATCTCCACTAGAAAATGACAAAATTAAAAACACAGCCCTGATAAGTGGTTACTAGTAACCCATCACCAGCTGGCACAGTGTGAAACATGGCTGGTCCCTGTCTACAGCACCTGAAAAGTCCTACTCAGTATTGTGTTAGCTGAGATCACTGCTCAATGGCATATTCTAGTGAAGACAAGCCCTTGGATAACTATCCCCACAGCTTCATCTCATTCATCACTAAATGTTTCCTACAGGCTAGTTGATTTTTTTCAACAGATGCTTCTACATCTTAAAGGCCCAGTTTCAGTTTGTGCAGGAGTGTTCCTGAAACTCCAACCCCTCCCTATCCACAAATGGCAATGTTAAAAAAAAAAAAAATCAATGGGACTTGAGGTCCTAGGTCATTTAGGCCTAGGCCCTTACAAGATATTCAGGGACATAATCCTCATAATCTAGGCCTTAAGCACTGTTGAAGAAATTACCCATAATGCTATCCCCTGTACTGGTTACAGGGGAAGAGAAAACCTGCTTTCTCTGTAGCTGTGGAGCAGAATTGGATGGGGGAAGGCACAGGATTTGGGAATCAGGAAAACTTACTTCTGTGCCCAGCTCTGTCACCAACTCACCGGTGTGGCCTGAAGCAGGGATCTTTACCTCTCAGTGCCTCCCTTTCTATAGCTGAGAAATAGGGAGAACCTTTATTTCTAAAACACTTTGAGATCTCTGGACATAAATAACTCCCAGGAGTTGAGGATTATGGTCTAATGATCAAATGCTTCCCACCTCACCCAACTCTGTCTGTTCCACTTCTATATCTCTCCCCGGGCAGGGACTTCTACTCTCCTGAAATGAGCGGGGAATTTGGTGTTTTGAGGTGCTGAAGAGTGTTTTGCAGAACATGGTGCAGCAGGAGCTCAACAGCTTGTGGGATCCTTACATGTTATCATTTGCTAAGGAGTGATCACTGAATTAATTATATTTCCTCTGAGTCGGATCCAAATCTCTCTGTGGTGGGGCAGGGGGAGGAAAGGTCCATCCATTATGCATGTTAAATAAATCATCACATGGATGAGAGGTGATAATGGATGCAGAGCAGCAGGTCTGCCTGTTGATCTCATCTTAATGAGCTGAGAGTGGTGCTGGACTGAAGGAGGTAAAGCAGACAGAGATGTGCAAGGGCTGGAGAGCAGAGTAGCGCCTGCAGAAGCTGCAGTGCCCCCTACCCCCCAACCATGTAGAGTGCTGGACCTGGACTTCCATGGTCCCAGGCTTTGCAGTGCCCACTTCTCCTAGGTATTACACATGCAGGGCTAGAAAGCAACATGAGTCTCTTTCTAGCTGTTCCGGGTGTGTAGAGGCGGAAGGCAGAGTAGCACTACTGCAGCTGTTACAGATGTGCAAGGCTGGGAGGCACAGTGGCACCGCTGGTTGCAAGGCTTGTCATGATCATAGAACAATGCTTAGAATGGATTCAATGTATTGTCCAATTCTTGACTGCTCTGTATAAATAACATAGAGTCAGCCCAGGGATTAGCTGGGCCCATAGCATTTATGTGAGCGACCAGAATGGGAGCTCCATTTTCTCTTGATTGTATTCCTACTAAGGGCAGCTCGGGTTGCTTTTGCCAGCACCGTTGCTAGGGAAGCCTAGGTGTCCCTACACATCTCCCTCTCATGAGTACCGGGGAGACAACTCAGCCCTGTGCATGGGATCAACCCCTCGGAATGAAAGGCTGCTACTGTGAGAGGAGGTCTAGGACCAAGGGAGGTGTCTGAACTGAAGCAGGAGTAATGCTCCAGGTCTGTCTAGTAATTCATGTATATGGAGATGGGATAAAAAAAAGAACAATCCAAAAGCCCTCTCTACCACCAGCTGATTCCCCCCTTAAGCTGCTAGAAACTCAAGAGGACCAACTCCACAGGTACTGCACAAATAACTTATCAAGAACTGGACTGAAGTTTGCTGTTCTCTACTCCCCACCCCCTGCCCTTCCCCACACACAAACACAAGTCTGGGCAGCAGAGAACATGGCTGCTGAGAGCTGAATACCTCAGTGGACCTTCATTGCCTCTACTTTAAAGGGCAATGAACTTGCCACCCTGCATGGATAAAACAAGCACCCTGTTCTCATCTTACCTCAATCCTGATCTGAAAGCTCATTTCTAACACAGTGCCGTGTTTGCTGCTGCCAGCTCACTGGAAGTCTACACTGACAAAGATGCAAGATGCAAACTGAGCTTGATGCAACGGAGTCACTACTGCGAGAAGAGGTGCTAATTAAAGCTCAGCTCTGATTATAAACCATCTTCAGGAATGGTGGGGTGGTTGGAGGAGTCTGCTCCAGCAGGGTCCCGATGTTGGGAAGAGCTGTTCTGTGGCTGCTTTTCTGGGAAGTACAGGGTCTTGTGAATCAGATCTCTGACAGCCGAGACATCATCTGCCTCTGTAAGAGTGGGACAGAGGAACAGCACTATCACCACTAGCGAGAAACATTGTAGCCCTAGTAAGGTAGCTAGGAACCCCAGCTGTCACCACCACTTACACTTCCTCCCATTATCCCATCACCCTTCTCACTGCACTCTGCAGACTGCGCAATGCTCACCCACGCCCAGCTGCTGCAGAAGATCCCTGTATTCTGGGTTGGTTTCTAGTATCTTCAGGAGGTTGGTGGATTCCATTCTCTCCAGCTGCACATCCCAGTAGATGTAGATCTTTTGATTGAAACTGACGTAAACCAGGCAGGGGCTGTTGTGGTCTCCTTTGCACGCATAGAGGCCTGGGAAAAGCCAGGGAGGGAGCCAACAGTAGTTAGTGAAAAGCAGAGGAAATGAAGAGGTAACTTGGGAAAACAGATAAGGAGGAGGCAACTGGAGATCAGAAGGCACATGGTGGGGTAAAGCAAACACAATGGAGTAACCTAATTCTCCCCTCTGTGCCCAACTGTGCTACTGATCTAAGAGGGAGTAGAAAGGCTCTGGCTGCCAGCCAATACATTGGTGAGAGGCACTGTACAGAGACATGGCCTGTGTTGTGCTAAACTGAGTCACATGGTGGCAGGAGCAGGCTGTCTGTGCAGCGAGTGCTTGAGCAATCCAGCTGGGGGCAGAGGTGCCCCAGGGCAACAGAGAAAAATCAGTGAAAACACCTTGATGGGAAAAGGTCTCAGGAGCTGACAGTGGGGGGCACAGCACCCACTGGGGTCAACAGGAAGTAAATGTGGCACAGAGCAGGACACTTGTGCTTCTTCCGGGTCAGGTCTCCTAGCATCCCTCCCCTCTGACATGGCCTCTTCCCAGCAGCCAGGAAGAAGAGGAGATTAGCTGGGCTTCCCACAATGTCACCCACCTCCAAAGCAGGACATATTATCTGGGGGCTTCCCCCTTTCCCAGAGCAGCAGTGACATATTTCATGGAAAGCAGCCAACAGCTCAGTTCACAGCCAGGCCTCGTGTCTCAGATGCAGGAGCAGGCCACACTCACCTGCACAGAAGGCGCTGACGTTCTCATCCACTTGGAACCTGGCCACAGTCCGATTGTGGTCGATGATGTACGTCTGGCCATCCCAGGCGCAGGCTATCACCTCCTCGTGTCCATTGCCCTGCCAGAGTTGCACAGGTGAGAGAGCGGGACGAGCTTTGATTAGTACAGGCCTCAGCCATCCAGAGATCCAGCAGCCTACAGCAAGGAGCATCCATTCCTAGCCTCTTCCATAACCTGTGTTCAATGCAGCAGTCTCCTAACAGGGGACACTGATAACTTGTTTTCAAGGAAAAGACATCTCTGCTCTTCCTGTACAAGTGGCCTCTCTAGGTTCATTCTGCCCTACAACACAAAATGTAGACAGGGCCAGTCACCCATTCTCCCATCCCATGTGCTCTCAACCTCTCATTTTCCCCATTTCAGTCCTTCTTGACAAACATCCTGACTCCCTAGTAGCGACTGCTTCCTTCTCAATCACTCCTCACTGCCTTATTCTCCTATAAGCATCTCAGTCTGACCTACCTGCTTTGGAAGAGGAGAGTCAGGCTGTTCCAGTTTCCAGAGGAGAGGAACAAAAGAATTACTGTACCGGATCTGACCCAAGGTCCATCTAACCCAGTGTCCTGTCTCTGACTACAGCCAACAGCAGATACTGCAGAGTAAGGTGTAAGAACCCTGGAGGTATCCCGCCCCATATAACTCTCATCCTGGTGTCTAACTCTTTAAGCCCTGAGGCACAAAGTTTAATATTCCTGGTAATTATGTGGTGTCATTAATTATACGTCTGGATGCTCTATTCATGTTTACACTCACAGTAACAGTAAATGGCCAATTGCTTTTGGAATTCTGTTGAGTTACTGGCTTGAACAACTTCATGTGCCAGCAAGTTCCTTAGCTGAATGTCTACAGTACCGATGGGGTTTGTAGTACAGGCTCCATTTTCTTGGGCCCTCTGTGTGGGCATGGGACAATCCCAGGATGCCCTGCTCTCTCTTCTGTGGGTGAGATGGCAAAGAGACATCTCAATGTCTCACCCCAGTCACCCTCTCCCCACACCAGATTTTGCTCTGTTCACGTTTACACTCACAGTAACATCCAGTTTTTCCAGAGCAAAGAGCTGGTGATCGACTTGCACAGACCACAGCAGCTTATCTGCCCCCTCCATGAGCTTCAATGTTCCTGAAGGGGAAAGAGAGACATTCTGACAACATCTAACCACAAAGGAGTCAGCATCTTGGGTCTGTGGGATGGGAAGTGGAGCGAGCCCTTGTCCCACAGCTGTGCTGCCAGGGGTACTTTTCAGTATTAGAGTCAAACATGCTCTGAAATTGGCAGGGAGGAGGGGGCATTTGAACATGCTCAGGCCACCTCAAGAATTCCAGGCTTGCTCTGTTTATAGCCAAGCAGATTTCAGAGCAAAGCAAAGGGAGGTGCCAACTTTTCCTATCCCCATGACATGCAGCCAAGCCTGACTCTGTGACACTACCACTGGGGATGGTGGTGTCCCCAGCAACATGTTGCGCCCGATCCAGAGGCTTCCATCTGCAATCTCCCAGGGAGAAGAAGCCCTGTAGTGCTGCCTGTGGTTGATGACTCACACAGCACCGTCTCTCACTCCAGGAGCAACAAGGACCCATTAGCTTGTCAGCAATAGCTGGAGATACAGAGGGAAAAAAGCAGCAGCTCTGCTAATTGGATTGAACTCTGAGACTGCAGGGAAATGGACTGAAATGCTCTCTCAGAATACGATATGGCGGCACAATGAGCTCTAACATCTCAAATCAGATACTGCTTAAGCCAGAGGGTCCCCAGCTCTGACTCATGGATTCCTGGTGATCCGAGGCGCTTGAGCTGGGATCTGCAGAGAGCTGGATGTTCACATGGGACTGCTTCTCCTTTATGTTCCCAGAGGCCAAATTACATTAAGAGAAAATAAAAACCCACTTGATACTTTCCTAACATTTCTGTTCCCTGTCAGCAACTGCTATAGCTGGCACATGGATGTTGCTAGGAGATTGTGACTGGCAGGAAAGGTGTGTCTGTGAGACAAAGCATGGGTTAAACTCTAAACAATCCTCACAGCACCCTGTGGAGTCAGTAAATATCATTAGCCCCATTTTACAGAGAGGGGAACTGAGTTTGAAGGAGGCTAATGGAGTTGCCAAAGGCCACACAAGTCAAAACAGGGATTAATCAGCCTTGGATCACCAGGAATCCATGAGTCACAGCTGGGGACCCTCTGGCTTAAGCAGTATCTGATTTGAGATGTCTCTTCCATGACTACTGAAGTAGGCCAGGATTTAGGGAGACCCTGCATGGTGACTTCAGGCTGTTAGCCAGTCTGGGAGTTAAAGTTAGTGAGAATCACAGCTTTCTGTATCCAAAAGCTTCAATACCAAATCCCTTCTATTTATTAGACCTGAATCCTGTCTCTTCTTTACCAAATCACATGGGAGAACCTGGCTCCCAGGCCCATGCACAGTCCACTACACACCATAGCCTCTTCATTTACCTTGCTGCTTGGCAGCATCTCAACCACCTTAAAGTGGGTAAGGAACATGCCTCCCTGCTCTTTTGATGGCATTGTTTGTATAGAATTTCAGCTTAGCGTGCAAGTTGACTTGGAAATACACCTACACAGAAATTCTGTGAATGATTCGAGTCTTAAATGGGGACTGTTATCTAGTGGCTAGAGCAGAAGATTGGGAGTCGGAGGAGATTTGGGTTCTTAGTACCACCTTTCCTAAGAACCTGCTGTTTGATCACTGAAGCCACACAAATGTTCGTCAAGTGCTTTGAAATCCATGGATGCACAGCACCTGCTTAGGGAAGTGTAGTGGACTGCTATGAATAATTCACTGAGAAATAAACATTTCGGTTTTCCTGTAGAGAACAAAACCCTGGAGCATGGCCCTGATTCAGTAAGAAACTGGAGCACACGCCTAGCAAAATGGGGCCACTCTCATGCCTAGAGTCAGCCTGGTACATATACACCTGGCTGAATCAGGGCATGACCTTCTGGTGATGCCTCTCCTCTTGGCTCCTGTGGGCACAAGAGCAAAGGCTGGTGCAGGGAGCGATAGGGGACCTTCTGCCCTCTCCCCTCAGATGAAAGCATGTATCTGAGATGAGGACAAGGAATAATGCCAGTGCAGCAACCTCTGCTGCCAAATTCTCCTACATATTTTTA